GTCTCTCAACTTTTATATTTAAGCCTCAGTTAAATTTGAATGAAGTCAACGATAAAATGCTACTACAAAATAACTCCCATTTTCGCTCACAGTTACCCAATGGTTTAATAGATTAAGTCACATAAGTATACCTCCAGGACATTTTATTACAAATCAATCATTCTCATCTAACCTGCATGGTAGAGTTCAAAGGTCAAAGTCTAAAGCAAAAAAACATCCACACACACACACACACACACACACACACACACACACACACTTGGTTACCTTCCACTACACACACACACACACACACACACACACACACACACACACTTGATTACCCTCACTACATTATGAAGCAGTACTCCCCCCTCACACACACACGTTTTGGTTATTGAATAGAGAGAAACTAAATCTTTGACGGCAAACTGAAGTGAATATTTTAGTTAAATTTGGCAAGAGCCGTCAACTGAATTTTCACCAAGGAAAATATCGTATTTATTAACATATCTCTACTTCATATTGATGGCACGATGATGGAAACTGACTTCAGATCGAGTCTGGCAATAACAGGTGAGAGATGAAGGACATTTGTCGTATTATAATTCACAAAATCACATTAAATATTTATCGTCAACTTGTATTCAGAAGCTGGAGGATAAAGACTATAAATTTTGTACTTAGAATAAATATGAAAGGAAATTATTGTTTGTATTATAGCTAAGCCAGAGACCAGGTGATTCATTTATAATCAACGAAATGTCAACAGAGATTATTGTCTCTTCTCAAATCCCTTTAAAGGTCGATTAATTTGGACCTCTGGTATTTTAACTTGTAAGAGCGTCTGATATCAGGTACTTGAAATAATTGTCATCATCAAGAACTGTTTCAATTTGTGTTATGTAGTTAGTTAAGTATCACGACTACACCTTACCTGTACTCACGGTGGCCAGGTGGTGGTGTTATTCTATTTCTTAGAAATAAATAATAAATATCCAGCTATAAGACCGGTTGGAATTATTTAATCCGGCTACCGATCGGAAAAGAAAAAGGCCAGAGACCGGATATCTGCAATATCTTTAATCATTTTTTTTAAATTGCAATTTTTTATCACACAAAGCGGATATGACTTTGAAGTAGAGGGAAATTGTGTGGCAAAACACTCACAAAAAACCGACTAAACCAAACTTAACTAAACCTAACCTGTTACAGAAAACATTGAATAGTGTAATATCTTAAGAACACGTCACCGCGTTAAGGAGCCAAGTTAGGACATTTTTTTAATAGAAGAAAAGTTCTTCAATTTATGAAGAACATCCCAAAAATGGCCAAGGAAATAATTTTTTTCACAAACAAAAAGATCATCCAGAGCTTAACTTAAAGTCTCAAAATTATCAGCATACACGTCTAACCTGACCTAACCTGATCAGAGAAACCATAAGGACCCGACCTAACCTCCTATCCGGAGAGATTCTGCCCCTGGACTCCCCAATATGTAAAGCAAAACACAAAAGAACTTAAGGAACCAAACTAGAAGTCGAAAAGTAAAAAATATATATTTTTATTATTTCGATACTACTTGACGATAGTTCAGCTCCTAAACGACCAACTTGAGGACATTTTTCCATAGATGATAAATGTTTTTCGAACCTCACGAGAAGCGTAAAACTTGGAGGATGAAAACGTTTTCGTATTATAATTTTTACGATTTATTTATTATTTTTTCATTGTTAATCTTTGGCCGCGCCGCCGAGGTCGGTTCGTTGATTCACTGGGACGTGTCTGGGACGTGTCTGGGACGTGTTTGGGACGTGTCTGGGACGTTTTAGGGATGTCTTTTTCGATTCTTTTCATAGTAAGGATTTAATTATTATTTCAAGAAGGGAGCACTGAACACTGTCTAACTTCTAACATTAGACAACAGTGTGAACAAGGAACAAAGTCTTATAATTTAACTGATCTCAGATTAAAAGGGAGTTTAATAATTGTGAAGGAAGTCGGTGAACCACAAATAATTTGAATTTTAACGTGAAAGATTTTAGAATGACTGATTTTATTGTATCAGTAAGAACCAGGCGATGAATTGGGATTACATGACAGAAAATATCAAAGATCTACCCAAACTTAACCTAACCTAACCTAACTTAACCTAAACCATGACCTTTCTTACATGGTTTGAGACAGCCCCAGCCGCCATCACCACCCCCTCGCCCTCATACACGTTACGGCGAACTGACATAAACAATCACCAACCTTAATTTAACCAGAACGAACTATAGTGTTGCTGTGTAGGGATCTTCTTACCTTGTGTTGAAGCGTCGAGTCCTGGGTCCTGGTAGACGAGTACTTCCATCCATACAAGGTACTGGATACACTGCTTTATCACTCGTGTTGTTCTCCAGCTCCTGCACGTGAAAAATTGTTGATTAACGCCACCCACACCTCTGGACGACATCAAGGACACTCCCCACACTCTTATTCCAAGTTCATGATTCAGAACCAAACTTATAAACACTTTCAAAGTTCTTGATTATGGCGGTACAATGGCTCTTGTGTTCACACCTTCTACATACACATTCGACATTACAGGTAATATGATTAACGACAAGATAATATAAAATCAAACTTAACTATGGACTAAATCCCTCACATATCTCCTAAAATTCTTTCAAATCCTCTATTCAGCAGAATTAAGGCGTCTATTACAGCCGAATTCTGAGGTGAGACCAGCAATATAAACGAAAGCGAATCGCCAGAAACGATTCAAACGGATTTAAACACTTAAATAATATTCCAATGCCTTATGTCAACAGTCTTAGTAATTCCTAATTTCTCCCTATCCTTATACCTCAGTTACGTCTGTAGTCAACCATATGAAGAGTCTCACCATGAAAGCGTTATTTACACCTGCTGGTTATTAAACAATGTTACTCCTCACCAATGTGGTTTAGTTGTAAAGTAGACTAGCAAAAAAATCGATTTGTTGGGTTTTTAAGAATTTGTTTTCCTTCATGTTCTCCCAACTAACGGGGTTGTTTATGAGAGTGAAAGGATTATCATACGCCCACCACCTGGACAGTTACGTGTTAACATTCAGTGTAGTGTACCCAGTGTTGGTCTGCTCTCCTTCAGTGGTCCAAAGTTTATACACTGAATCAACTGGACGTGAACTTTACCGCAGTGAATCTTCAACAAATTTATACACTCTTATCCCGAGTAGTGTTTTCTTTATTTTGTTAACTGTTATTATTTATTTGTTGATTTGTAATAAATTTGTGGTTTAGTGAATTGATAAAGTTAAACCTTATTTACATTTCAGGATAATATGTTTTAAATTAGAACCTAATTCTAAAACAATGCAGTGATCTAATATACAGTATAGTGCACAGTATCTGTTTGTGTGTGGGGGCGGGGGACGGGGGGCGGGGGTCATAATGCACGACTATAGTTTTGAGCAGGGAGCTGTGTAGTGGCCGGCCCCTCACCTCAAAGGTAGGAAGCCCCTCATTAAAACCACATCTATTTGTCTGTCTCTTTGTTATGCACAGCCTCGGTGTTTAAGACCTCAGTCCACAAATAACCTCAAGAATACTCACGAACGTCTACACTGGGTTAAGTCTCTTGTGTATATCATTGATCCCAAACAATTTGATACTGTTATTTTTTGCATGTCACATAATTTTAGCCAAAGATGGACAAAGTGGCTCTCTAATTACCTACCTTCATCCAACACAAAGTAGCGTAACCTCGGGTACCCCAGCCAGTACATTATAACGTGTAATAATTTGTAAGATGTATTTAAATGTTGAAGCAGAGTTAAACATTATAACAGGAGTCCGTGTGAGAGCTAGACCCCAAGACTGACTCAGGCAGGCAGTGGCCGCCTCTCCCCTCGATCCTTAGTGTTAGTGTTCCGAACTGTGTATACATAACGGCTGGTTGTGTCTGTACAGAGAACACGTGAGAAAATACACCAAGTAAAGGAAAGAGCGTCTTTATGCATGAATGAAAATATGAGGACAATATTTCAAGTATAACTAGACACCAAGTATAACGTTGTATGTATATGCCGAATATAAGAGTGAGGGTCTTTATACATAACAAAATACAACCATACATACTCAGGAAAGAGGTGGCCTGACAAACCTCCTGACCTTGTGGGCAATAGAGACCCCAAGTAGAGCTGAAACCTGACACTCATACCACCAGACCAACCAAGGCAAATGACCACGACGACCATCATTGCACTGTTGGAGGAGGAGGAGGAGGAGCGTCTGGCGGTGGTGGTCGCTCGTGCTGTCGCTCTTTTTATGGTACGGGTCCAAGGTAAAATAGATCATGCTCACGGGGTCAGAATACGTAACGTTTTGCGGGATCCTGGAACACATATACCCAACCCTACCATGGCGTATAGAGATGAAATATACTGCAGGTGTGTGAAGACTGCATATTGAGAGGGAGGGAGGAGAGACATGGAACCCAGAGACGAAACAGAGATGGAACCCAGAGATGGAACATAAGAGATAGAATGGAAAGGTGGAACAGAGAAAGAACACAGAGACTCACAACAACTATCTCTTGCCATTGTCTTATCTCTCCACAGTGTTACCAGTTCATTATCAAAGAGACCTTATCTCTCTACAGTGTTGCCAGTTCACTATCTTAAAAACACCTTCCTCCTCACAGTGTTGCCAATCCAGCATCCCAAACACAGATTTTATCCTCCAATGTTGCCAGATAACCAAATAACTATACCTACTCACAGTTTTGCCAGCTAATCATCACAACAATACATTTCCTCATCCCAGTGTTGCCAAATCATCATCACACCACTTTTCCTCTTTACAGTGATGCCAGCTCATCATCATTAAAAAAACCTTACCTCCCAAAATTGTTGCTAATTTATCATCATAGAAACCGTTTATCTTTGCGCAGTTTTACCAACTTATAAAATTAATAAACCTTATCTCTCCTCAGTATTACCAGGTCAGCATCACAACCACCTTATCTCCCGACAGTTGTGAGAGCATCAGATGGTGAGACGGACGAGGTGACCACACTAAGGGAGGATGTGTCCGACCAGCCCACGGCCCCTGACATACTCCAGATAGGCCTCGACCACGCCCCCAGCCCACTGGAGGCCCACCAGGTGCCCTTTCCCGGCAAGGTCTCAGCCACGGAGCCCTATATTGACCCCGCCACGCCACTCAAGGTCCGCGCCTACGCTGGTCACACTGCCTTCATCCCCTGCCTCGTCAACAACTTGGGCCAACGCTCGGTGAGTCCTGTCTGTGTGTGTGTGTGTGTGTCTCTCTCTCTCTCTCTGTGTGTGTGTGTGTGTGTGTGTGTGTGTGTGTGTGTGTGTGTGTGTGTGTGTGTGTGTGTGTGTGTGTGTGTGTGTGTGTGTGTGTGTGTGTGTGTGTGTGTGTGTGTGTGTGTCCCAATCATGGTACATTAATGGGTCAAAATACTAGTGACTTGTCAACTCTAATCTCCTGAACTTAGACTTTACGCACACACACACACACACACACACACACACACATACACACACTTACTCGTGTTTATAGTCACGTAAATAACATCTACATTAGCCAAACTTCGGGGCTGCCAGCGAGTCATTCACCCCGGGTATAATAATTTATTAAATATTTCTACTCTGCATTATTTACCCGTCTTAACCTAACCTAACCTAACCAAACCAAACCAAACCAACTCGTAACTTAAACGGATAACACGAACCTGATTCACTTACTGTAAACAGGTATTCTTCCAACCTCAGCTGCAGGCGGTTCAAGACGATGTTTTCTGAGGAAAGACTCGTAAATTCACCGACCGCTTGTGTTATTTTTGCCTCCTCAGTTATTCCCAAGTCAAAACAAACCCCGAACCTGTTTGTGGTTTGCCTCATACTCTGCCGGTACACAAGATAAACTGTTCCTTTTCTTCAAGACAGATACAGTAAACCTTCCAAACAGATAGATACAGTGAACCTTCCATCCGACAGATACATTGAACCTTCCATCCGACAGATACATTGAACCTTCCATACATTGAACCTTCCATCCGACAGATACATTGAACCTTCCATCCGACAGATACATTGAACCTTCCATCCGACAGATACATTGAACCTTCCATCCGACAGATACATTGAACCTTCCATCCGACAGATACATTGAACCTTCCATCCGACAGATACATTGAACCTTCCATCCGATTAACCCAGTTAGAACCATCATCATTAACTATCGCCTCTTGTTTTATTCAAATTGCTTATCTTACCTCCTCCTCAGTGTTGGTTACTTAACTTACACATTGCTTCAGTCTTACCTCTATGTTATCCTCAGTACCGCCCCACACACGCACACACTTGGTACCGCCTCACACACGCACACACTCGGTACCGACCTCACTCGGTACCGCCTCACACACGCACACACTCGGTACCGACTCATACGTTCATCCTCCCACTCACCACCACCTCACACACACTCAGCCTAACCTCAGAAACACTCAGTTATTTACACCCGACACACCGAGGCCATTAACTGGGAATGAATTGTTATGCCGTCTTTTGCTTGACGCTGGTGTTACATTATGCATCCCCGCCTGAGGTGCTGAGAGAGATGCTGAGGTGCCTTTGACGAGGCGTTGTGTGGTGGTGCTGTGTGGTGGTACTGTGTGCACGTGTGAGGTATTGTTTGCCACGTGTGAGGTGCTGTTTGCCACGTGTAAGGTGCTGTATGCCACGTGTGAAGTGCTGTACGCCACGTGTGAGGTGCTGTGTGCCACGTGTAAGGTGCTGTATGCCACGTGTGAGGTTATTAGGGCATACACCGCAAAAATAATCACATTTCTACGTTCAGTTTCCATGATTTTTTCTCCATAATTTCACTAAACATTAGGCATAAAAAAGCGCCTGGGAGGTCGACCAAGTTTGTGAGTTAATCTTTCCAGAAATTTTGCTCACCGGGCAACTTTAACATTAAACGAATCTAAAGTTAATAAATGACATGATTTTGTTTTTCTCTTCAGGTAAAGAGATATTGTATTAATAAACCTTTTTTTATAAATATGTTTTATTTTCGTATAATGAGCTTAGAAGGTGATGTTGGGTTGGGTTAGGTTAGGTTGTGTTATTTAAACGAGTCTTGTCGCCTCTGCCCTATCTCCCTCTCCCCCCTCTCACTTCCACCTCCCCCCTCCCCACCACCTCCCTCCACCTCCCTCCTCCTCCCCCCTCTCCGCCCCCCCCCTCTTCCACCTCTAGGACACAGACAATGGTTGAAAGTTTACGAAAAAGAACACAAAGAGATGAAAAGGTTCATTTTTTACCTGACAGACACCAGCAATATACCGGAGGCTTCGTTACACACACACACACACACACACACACACACACACACACACACACACACACACACACACACACACACACACACACACACACACACACACACACACGACAGGCCACCGACTGCATGCTGGAAAACCTGATTACTTCACCCTTTGAGTACGATGATTTAATTCCTGTAGCATGATGACTTAGCCCCCTTGGAGAGATGTAATTTTAACTCAGTACTCAAGGGGCTCAGTCATCGTATTGAAGGGGCTAAAAGCTTCCAATAACATAATTATACCACATATACATAAAATAAATTGAAAAAAATGAATAAGTCAAAGATTATACAATATTAATCCCTTCACCTTAAGATTATAGCCAAGGATTAGGTTAGGTTAAGTTAGGTTAGTTTAGGTTAGGTTAGGTTTGGTTAGGTTAAGTTAGGTTAGGTTAGCTTTAGGGTGTTTAATCTTCAGGTGAAATAAGTTGGGGGGCAGGGGGGGTGGTTAATGTTCAGAAGACAATTTATTTTACCTTGACGCTTCACCATGCGAGTCCACACCGAGAGAGGCGATACTGAAGCACCTAACCAAGTCTCCGCTCATCTTACTTCATTACGGATACACGTCAGATCCAGCCTGTGACCCGAGTTTACAGCCGCTGAACACACGAGACACACACACACCATCCCTCACTATACCTCCAAGCTCTCCCCCTTCCCTCCCCACACTTCCACAACCCCTTCCTATCCCCCACCCGCCTTTGGGTTTTCTCCGGGATAAAACAATTTTCTTGTTCTCTTACTTCATCATTATATCCTGCCGGAAATCTCGTCTTAGATCCAATATTTTTCTTTTTTCTTACTCTCTCTCTCTCTCTCTCTCTCTCTCTCTCTCTCTCTCTCTCTCTCTCTCTCTCTCCTGTAACTTCCAAGTACTTAAATATTCTCTACATAAACAAAACTAAATATAAATGTCACTCTTAATACAAATATATATATATCGATACACATAAAAAAACACTACCTTTTTCACTCCTTAATCTTATATACATTGGATTTCACCTCATTCATACTGTACAATTATACATAAACATCTATTCATTATTAGGTTTTATTTTCACATATTTAGCATACGTCATACACGAATACATTGATATCTTCTCGTTGTTTACACACACACACACACACACACACACACACACACACACACACACACACACACACACACACACACACACACACACACACACACACACACACACACACACACACACACACACACACACACACACACACACACACACACACACTGCCTCCTTCACCTGGGCTGACATATTGCGGTATAATTTGAAGAGTGGCGTGTCATTAGCATCCCCGGCACCTCACCTCCACTCTCTCCCTCTTCTTCTCCACCTCCCTTCTTTAACTAGTCCTTCCTCTCCCTCTCTCACCTCCACCCTTCGTCTCCCTCCTTTATTCCCTCCCTTAACTCCTCCTACACCTCTACCCACCCACCTTCACTCCCTCCTTCACTCCCTACACTTTACCAACAAGTCTTAGCACCGCGTTGTGGCTCTTTTATGCCCGTGTTATGGAGTTATGACTTGGTGAAGCATCTTACTTGATCATAAAAGTACGTCCTTTTCATAAGTAGATTGTATAAATTGATTACTCCACACACACACACACGCACACACGCACACGCACACGCACACACACACACACACACACACACACACACACACACACACACACACACACACACACACACACACTTGGCACTAATACTTAATAATTCAGTGTGTAAAGTGACTTAATGATTCATGAGGTATTTACTCAGCCGTGTGGACGTCTGCTGGCGATAATTATGAAAATAAGAATTTACCTTTTTTTTCCGTAATAAAACCTTCACTTAAGATTTAGATTTTGTGAAATATTTGAGGAATTTCTTTGATCGATCCTAAATTTCATTTACTTAAAACATTAATATTCTTAATAATTATTTTGGGAAGATTTTTTATTGGTAGTTCGAGGATAATTATTTGTAGTTTTTCTCACAATAGTTAGATTTATTAATTATTTTCTCCATGTTTATTTTACTTCTTCTTTATCACAATTTATCTCTATTTCTTTTCACTTCTGCCCATCGTAGTCTTCTTCTTCTTCTTCTTCTTATTATTATTATTATTATTATTATTATTATTAAATCCCTCCCCTGCCTTCTACCCTCCTTCATTGACCACCCGCCCTCCTTGCCTTCCTTCCTCCCTCCCTGACCTCCCTCCGTCCCTCCCTGACCACCCTCCCTCCCTCTGGTCACCACCTGCCGTCCCTCCCTGACCTCCCTCCGTCCCTCCCTGACCTCCCTCCGTCCCTCCCTGACCTCCCTCCGTCCCTCCCTGACCTCCCTCCGTCCCTCCCTGACCTCCCTCCCTCTGGTCATCACCTGCCACTCGCGGTGTTTTGTGTTGGACTCTTATCTCCACCTGGACCACCACACTCGGACTCTTCTTATCTTACCAGCTTCTTCGAACTCTACGTGACCTAGAGTACACCCAGAGAAGTTATTATTATACCAGTATTATTCCCCTCGACTCTACATAACTATACACAGCTTCAACACGACATGCCATCCTTATCTAAATAACTTTCCGGGATTTTACATAACTTAAATATTTTCGCAAAGTTTTAAATCTTCCTTATCTCAGTAACCTCTCAAGACTCTACACATGACCAGTGACCCCCATGCCAGGATAACTTTGTCACTAGGTCATGGTATTCAGGATTTAGGTCACGTCTTGTATGTCACGTAATATTAACCATGACTGAACGATAACTTGTGGTGGTCAATTCTGGTGGTGATATTTGGTTAGTTCTCTTGAGTACTTCCAGTGATATTGTCTTTGAGGTTAAAAATAATATCTTATCTTTGTTAGTAATTATTTTTTTATTTTGTTTTATCTCTTTATTTGTTGGGGTTTCTTTTTGTATCTCGTTCTTTCGTTCTCGCTTTCTCTGTCTTTCTCGGGCTTCTTTTCCTTTAATCAATCTGTTTCTTTCTTTTATATTTCTGGTTTTGTTTATGTCTTGTCCTCTCTCTCTCTCTCTCTCTCTCTCTCTCTTCTCTCTCTCTCTCTCTCTCTCTCTCTCTCTCTCTCTCTCTCTCTCTCTCTCTCTCTCTCTCTCTCTCTCTCTCTCTCTCTCTCTCTCTCTCTCCCTCCACACACACACAACAAACACCCTCCCTCCTCCTCCTCCCCATCTCCTTCACCACCACCACCACCCCACACCCCTCATCCCCCTCCTCCCACCCCCCCCCCTCCCTCCTCTCCTGTCTACAGTTAACAGTTTATTATTGCGGTGGGGGATTTGGCTCTGCGTTTCTTCCGTTGCTGATAGTTTAGTCCAGTCAGGAACATCCCAGTCAGCAGAATCCCGGCAAAGAATTCTTCCTGAACTCAGCTGAAGTCTTGAAGTCTTCTCCCCCAACATTTGGACTGACTTTAAGATGTTTCAAGTGAAGAATTTATGTAGCAGGATTGAGAGGAGAGGGTTTTTGGGTAGTGAGTGTTTGTCTGTGTGTAAGAGTGTAGAAGTGTGGTGAGTGTTTATTTGTGAAGTGTGGGCAATAGAGGGGGTAGTGGTGTTTGGTGGTGTGGGCTGTGATGGTGTTTGTTTGCAGTGTGGGCAATGTGGAGTGTGGTGGTGTTTGTTTGTGAAGTGTGGGCAATGGCAGGGTAGTGGTGATGTTTGTTTGTGAAGTGTGGGCAATGTGGGGGGTGTGGTGGTGTTTCTCAGTGACATAAGCGACATCTCTCATTTATCCTTCCTTAGCAATCTAATTCTCTCCTCACTCTCTATCTCAATCTTCCTTCCTCTTCCTCTTCTATAATCCTCCTCTTCCTTCCTCTTGAAATCATCACCACCACCTCCTCCTCTTCCTCCTCCTCCTCAGGGTATCACTTAGACAAATGGGAAAGATATTTTGCATCCAATATTACGTAGAAGACAGACAGGAAGAGGCACAGAGAGAATGACGTACAATTATGGGGTGGGTTTAGGTTAGGTTAGGTTGGGTTAGGTTAGGTTAGGTTAGGTTGGGTTAGGTTAGGTTAGGTTGGGTCAATCATCAGGTGATCCACTTTGTCGCCAACTACAGTACCTATAGCCATACCCCCCCCCCACCCCCACCCCCTCCTCCTCCATATCCCGGGCACTCTGGGAGGCGACAGGCGCACACTAAGGACGGGGTTATATCTCACTAAAACTTGCTCTGGTACACGTATAACCAGACGCCAATGGCAAAAGTTTATCCTTCTTGAGCACGAGTTGGCGGCATCCATTTAACCGGGGGGCCAATCACGGGCGAGCCTCTATCAGGTGAACCAATCAAATGGGGAGAAAGGAGGAAGAGAGAGAGAGAGGGTCAATTGTCTATCGAACACCAAACTGGCAACGTCTATCTGAGCAGCCAATGGAGTGGAAAACCTCGAAGTGCCACCTGGAGAGGATTGATTGTCAACTTGGTGTGTGTGTGTGTGTGTGTGTGTGTGTGTGTGTGTGTGTATAAGGGTGACACACACACACACACACACTCACACACACACACACACACACACACACACACACACACCAGATATTGCTATTCCCTAACTCTTGTTTCACTACTGATGTCACTTGAAACTTTTCCAATTTAGATAATTTCGATAATAGGTTACAATCACGGTGTCACTTCATGGCGCTGTATCTGTCTTTCTCTCCACCTGCCTCCTGAGATACTGACCCAGATGTTCTTTACCTGAGGGGAGGGGGAGGGTAGTGTCTCGTGTGGTGAGAGACAAAGAGAGAGAGAGATAAAAAGAGTGGGAGGGAGAAAAAGAGAGAGAGGGTGAAGGAGAGAGAGATAGAGAGAGAGATTGAAGAAGAGAGAATGAAGGAGAGAGACAGAGAGAGAGATTGAAGAAGAGAGAATGAAGGAGAGAGAGATAGAGAGATTGAAGAAGAGAGAATGAAGGAGAGAAAGAGCGAGAGAGAGAGTGAAGGAGAGAGAAAGACATAGAGAGAGAGAAGTTATACAAGTTCACTACTGATACAAAGTTGTCTCACGCTTACACATATGATGCAGTTACAGGTGTCATATATAAACCACAGTATAGATGTCACATACACATATGAACACACATGTATATACACTTACAGCCTACTCAATACACCTGTCAACACCTGCAAATGCCTCTAACACACAAGCTATACTCTACACCTGTTAATATCATCATTTGCAAGTTGTTTTCTCACTCATATACACCTGGTTCTCCCCTACAGGTGTCATGGGTACGTCATCAGGATATACACGTGTTGACTGTAGGTCGCTTCACCTTCACTAATGACGACAGGTTTGAGGTCCAGCATGATGACGGCAGTAATGAATGGGTGTTAAAGCTCAGGTGAGTCTGTCCCCTAGTTCACCTTGTGCATCCTTGTTCAACCCTTAGTTCACCATGTTCAACCCTTAGTTCATTATGTTCAACCCTTAGTTCAACATATCAACCCTTAGTTCACCTTGTTCGACCCTTAGTTCACCATGTTCAACCCTTAGTTCATTATGTTCAACCCTTAGTTCACCATGTTCAACCCTTAGTTCATCATGTTCAACCCTTAGTTCAACATATCAACACTTAGTTCACCTTGTTCAACCCTTAGTTCACCATGTTCAACCCTTAGTTCAACATATCAACCCTTAGTTCACCATGTTCAACCCTTAGTTCATTATGTTCAACCCTTAGTTCAACATATCAACCCTTAGTTCACCTTGTTCAACCTTTAGTTCATTATGTTCACCCTGAAGTGTTATGGTGTTATAATAAATGAAATATAACAGTAAGAGTAAAAATTCAGTGTCGTGTCGTGGTGGCTTCTCGTGTCGTGTTGTGTCGTGTCGATGTTATAATGCATTACTGTGCTTTAATAACTAAGGCCTTATCATAAGAATCTAGCTTAAAGAAGTTTGTTTACCTAAAATATTTCTACCCTTCGTCTCCCTTCACAGGACGCCATCTGTTAACGACTCAGGGACCTACGAGTGTCAGATTAACACCAAGCCAACCATCACTCAGCTCATTACACTTAGAGTCTTAGGTGAGTACACGGTGAGAGAGAGAGAGAGAGAGAGAGAGAATCAACCCGAACGGCGTGACACACACACACACACCAAAAGAAAGGAAACCATTTACCGAAATTTCCCACCAGCGTTTCTTTACTTTCTCTTCCTCTCTCCACCTTTCTCTCAGGTAATAAAGCAACACCAGGGAGAGAAAGTCTTCGTAGCTTTACCTCAGGTGAGAGTTCTTAGTATTAGAAAGTTCTACCTGATAATTTAGGCCTTATTTTTTCTGGGTATGTGACTCTCTTTCCCTTGAGGTATTTTCTTTCCTCTCTCTCTCTCTCTCTCTCTCTCTCTCTCTCGTCCTTTCCCTATTCCTTCCAACTCATTTCTCTCCCCTCAACTTCCTTCCTCCCATCCCCTCTCACTTCTCTCTCCTCCTTTTTTCCCTCTCTTCTCACTTTCTGTCTCATTACCTCCTTCCCTTCCCATTTAAGTTCCTCCCTTTCCTCTCCCTGACATCCTCTCACCTCCTTTCTTCTTCATCTTCGCTTCTCACCTTCTGTCTCATTACCTCCCTCCCTTCCCTCTCATTTCCTCCTCTTTCCCATTACCCGTCTCATTACCTTCCTCCCTCCCATCTCACATCCTCTCCCTCTTCTCCCTCTCCCTCTCCCTCCCTGACACCCACTCTCCCTCTCCTCCACTCTGCATTTGATCCAATTTGAAACATCAGAAGCGGAAGGAAATTTAAAAGGAGATTATGGCTCTCCTTCCTGACACACACGAATTGCTTGTTACGATGGCTAATGGTAGTTCAGTTCATGGAAGTTAATGGATTTGTAGTTGCTAAGGGGCAATTAAGGTCAATAATGATAGTTCAGGTCGTGGAAGTTAATGGATTAGTAGTTGCTAAGGGGCAATAAAAGTCAATAATGGTAGTTCAGGTCGTGGAAGTTAATGGATTGGTAATTAAGGGGTAATTAAGGTCAATAATGGTAGTTCAGGTCGTAGAAGTTAATGGATTGGTAATTAAGGTCAATAATGGTAGTTCAGGTCGTAGAAGTTAATGGGTAGTTATTAAGGGGTACTTAAGCTCACTAATGGTATGTGAAGTTAAAATCAATAGATAAATATCATCGTTAAAGGTGTCTCTATGTTACTAATGGTGGTTGGAGTTGTTGAAAGTTAATGGGGTGGTGTTATTAAGGGGTTATGATGGTGTTATTCTAATGGGATTTTTAAATTATATCTATTAATAGTTTGTAATAATCAGTGTCTCGTATTGGTCATTAGGGAGGTGGGTTTTAATGACTATGGTGGAGTGTTTGTTGATGGTCATTAAAACAGGGAATATTAATGGTCGTTAAGGCTCGTTATAATAGTTCAAAGGGGAAACAGTCTATGGTAATTTAGAGACTGAATCCTAATGGTCGTTAAGTACTGGTGAGTAATAAGAATCGTTCAGAGTTAGCAAGATAATAAGTCGTTAGGGTCGTACTAAACTATAGGGAGTATTAATTGCCGAATTTGAGGTCGTAATTAATAACAATCGTCAAAGAAATGAATCAAATATTAACGATCGTTCAGTCATTAACTATTAAAGGTCATTCAAAGATTAGACTATTGATTGTTAATAAAATAAAAATACCAACTGTACCTGAACAATAATCTTTACAATACTGATCCAGGTGACCTTTGCATACTGACCCAGGTGACCTTTGCATAATGACCCAGGTGACCTTTGCAACATCGTACAATAATAACAAGAGCAACATTTTAACACGAACCTTCAGGCAGACACATCTTCGACCTGAAGACACATCCATTATATTATCATCACGTTTTCATTAATGCAACCCAAAGGAACACACTCCTCCCCCCACCCCCCCGACCGCACCCCCACCTCCCGACCCTTTTACCCCCACCCCTAACCTCACCCCCACCCCCGACCACCTCCACCCCCCAGTACCCCCAAAACCGCACCCCCCACCCCGACCAGACCCCAACCCCCGACCACCCCCAAAGAAAATATCAAGCGTTGACAAAAGGTTAACAAAACTTTGCGAAATAACTAGCCCTCGTGATTACTTCTAAAAGCTATTCAACATCAGGCGAGTTAACTGGGCTGAAAATTTTCCAAAGGCTCAAGGTGATAGTAGTTATTATGAGGCTGTGATTTTTTATTTAGATTTATCCTTTTACAAACACAATGTAAGTTTGACCACACACACACACACACACACACACACACACCATAAATGTGACCCCCCACCCCCCCCCCATACACACACACACACCATGCAGCTAAAACGGATCTAATTCAATATTCCACACACGCTCACTTCTCCTAAGCCTCTCTCTCTCTCTCTCGCACGTCACTCTTATCTAATCTCTCTCTCACCATCTTTCTTAGGAGTTATGTGTAGTCTTTCCTTCCGAATAATCATTTTTAATCGGTATTTTCTTTTCTATTCCTCTCTTATTCTCTTTCGTTTTTTTTATCTTTCTTTCAGTATTTTCCTCTTTTTCTTCCTTCTTTTTTTTTTTTCAATTGTTAACTTATTTCCACACAATATATAGGCCTACTTTCCAATGGTACCTTCACTATTTTCCAATGGTACCTTCACTATTTCCCAATGGTACCCTCACTACTTACCACCGGGTCACTGTCCGCTACTGACCTCTAGCGCCAGATTAACATTATTATTTAAATTATAATTATGCAATCATTTGGTCCTACTTTTTTCGCTGTGATAATTCCCCCCAAAAAATATATGAATCATTTTTCTTTCATTTTTTTTCTAATTATTTTACGGAGATTTTTTTAATAATTAGTCTTTTTTTATAATTCAAATGATCAGGCTTTTTATGTTATGTTGGTCAGGTTAGGTTAGGTTAGGTTAGGTTAGGGGCCCAATCTCAACAGGCCCCAAGCTAACCACTGAGATCTGGGGTACACCTCTAACAGGCCCCAAATATGACCTGAAGTAGGGATTTAAGGTTACGTCTTTAGTCCTAATGAACCTTAGTCTTAATTAACCCTTGTCATAACGAGACTCTTAAAATGGTTAAGTTAATCTTGAGCTTATTAAGAATTGGGGTCCATTAAATAGTTAGCCCTATTAGTATCGGGTGCAGCTAAAACAAGGGGCAACTGGGACTAGGGGCCATTGGAACTAGGGGCCATTGGAACTAGGGGCAATTGGGACTAGAAGCCATTGGGACAAGGGGCCATTGGGACTAGTGGCCATTGGGACTAGAGGATATTGGGACAAGGGGCCATTGGGACTAGTGGCCATTAGAATTAAGTACTATTGGAACCATCAGCTAATGGAACTAGCAATCATTAGAACTATCAACCATTATAACTAGCTACCATTAGAGCTAGTTACCAATAGAACTAGCTACCATTAGAACTATCAACCATTATAACTAGCTACCATTAGAGCTAGTTACCAATAGAACTAGCTACCATTAGAACTATCAACCATTATAACTAGCTACCATTAGAGCTAGTTACCAATAGAACTAGCTACCATTAGAACTATCAACCATTATAACTAGCTACCATTAGAACTAACTACCATTGGAACTAGCTGCCATTGGAACTAAGAACCACCATGACTGTGCACCATTAGCCTTGGACACTGCTGGAACTCTTAACCATTGGATCTGCGGACCAAGGAAGGCCAATAACTCTCCCCAGACGCGGAAATATGAAAGAAAGAAGAGGAAGAAGCGGGGGAGAGTCATAAAGTGTTTAATGAAAGAAGAAGAAGAAAAATCTGGCCAAGGAAGACGAATGGAGGAGGAAATGGCGCGACAAGGAAGAATGGAAACTGCTGAGAAGAGGAGGAGGAGAATGAGAGGAAGAGGGGGTGGTGGGAGGAGGAAGAGGAGAGGGGGTGGAAGGAAGAGGAGGGATGAGTGGAGGAAGGAGAGGGGGTGGAAGGAATACCAAAGAGCTATTTTAGGGATACCAAAGAGCTATTTTAGGGATACCATGAGCTATTTTAGGGATACCAAAGAGCTATTTTAAGGATACCAAGAGCTATTTTAGGGATACCAAGAGCTATTTTAGGGATATTTTAGGATATTTAGCACTCTACTACGGACAACCTAACACAGCATTACACGGAACACATTATTAAAGCGAATAATATAAATTCACTAAATTAAATATCTCCATAATTTTATCATTGTATTCTAAGTATATTTCGGGTACTCTAACATCCATATAGGCAGAATTATTATTATTTTTTTAACCATTTGACGTTATATAGTACAGGTCATCAACATATTTCCTTTAATTATATTTATATGAATATTATATCCCGTATGTAAATGAAGTACCCATGCTGAGAAGTATCACCCATGCTGAGAAGTGTTACCCATGCTGTTAAGTATTACCCATGCTGTTAAGTATTACCCATGTTGTCAAGTATTAATTCCCCAAATATGAGTTGAAAAAGAAGTTAAATTCCCCCTAACTTTAAATATTCATATTGGACATACCTAGTTCATAGACCCTGGTATGAAAGCCATACAAGCTAACTGTATTATTTTGTAAGTTCTTCTGTAATACGAGGGCTAAAGGTGAAGTTATTTTTGTTCTGGATAAATTGTTCTCGTTTACCTATCGCCCTGGGGGATGTATTCACCTATTTCAACCATTTTTCACTCCTAAACTAAGTCTCTGTCGGATTTCATGAATACTATTTTGAAATGTACACTAACTTGCTGAAGTATTAAATTTCAAGAATGAGTTGGAATATCCTGGTGTTAAATTGTATTGGAAGGGAGAATCTTTGTTTTTGGTTCAAGTTGTTTTTTTGTTTAGAAATTCGTGGATATTCCTGGGAAAATATTGGAAAGGAAATGAACAGAAACATACACTGGTATTTAGGTACTGAATCGTACTGGAACAAAATTTCGTCAACTTTTTACAGAAATTTATCTGACATTGAAAGGCAAATTACTTGAACTTTAAATGACAAAAAATAATATCAAAATTACACTCAAAATATTACAC